GGGACCCTGGAGGTTGGGGTCAGGGCCTGCGAGGACCCGGTGGCCCTGAGACTCGGTGTGGGCACCGTGGGCACGGTGGGGGCAGAGCAGCTCCTCGGTGCCCGTGCTCCGGGCGGGCTGTCTGCAGGGCCTGGGCCGCTCCCGCGTCGGCGTCGGCGTGGGGCAGGTGCTGGGCGGGAGGGGCGCAGCAGGCGGAGAGGCGGGCTTGTGTCCTGGCTGACCGTGGGCCCTGTTGGGGTTCGCCTCAGGGTGACCCCAGCCCACCTTGCAGACGCAGCTGAGCACACAGGTGGGCGGGCCCTGTCCTGGCCGTCGCCTGCACCCCTCCACCCCCGCCTTCCCCGTCTGTCTCCCACATTGAGGTGGCCCCCTCTTTGCCAGCCCTCTGAGCATCTCTGGGTGATGTTGAACCCCCACTTGGCCAGAGTGCCCCCGAGGCCTGGTCTCAGCGTCCGCGGGAGGGAGGGCATGGCCCCCCGGACCCAAGTGGCCTGTCCTGGCCTCCCTTGTGTCCCCCAGACAGCAACAACTGTAGGGGAAACAGAAGCTGACTCAGAAAATCCCCCACGGAGTGGAGACACAGAAGGTGGGTGTGACGGAATTGAATAAACGCGGGAGTGTGGTTGCACTCCGGGAGGTGTCAAGAGCTGGTGGGGACCCACTGGTGCTCCCAGGGGCCCCCAGCTGGCCTTGGCCCCTGGACGTGGGCGTGGCCACTGCCAGTATCCCTGGACCTGCCCGGCACCTGGGACCTCCCTGTCTGCTGAGCGCCGCCCCAGGAAAGCACACTCCTCCTGTCTTTAGCGGGGAGCAGGGTTTGCAAGTTAGAATTTGGGGTCCCCTCCCCAGACCTGCAGAGCCTGTCCCCCTCAATGTTGCTGTCCCGGAGCGCCGCCTCCCAGGCTCCCGAGGAGGCCTGTGAACGGCCAGACTGACCGGCCAGACTGACCGGCCGAGGTTCGCCTGGCCTTTAGGGGGAGCCCTGTGCCTCGGGGGCAGAGAAGGCGACCCCGTGTCTTCTCTGCCGAGACCCCCTCGCCCCACCCAGTCAGCTGGAGGGGGTCTGGGACAGGGCACGGGGCTCAGGGGGTCTCTGGGAGCCCTCGGGTCAGGCGGGGAGCGGGGAGATGGTAGGGCCGGGCGTGTGCCTGCGTGTCGGGTCCTGTCAGCGGACGGCCACCTCCCGGCCCCCGGGCGTGAGGCAAGGCCCCCGCTCTGGAGCGGCCGGCGGGGGGGACCCGCGGCTGAGCCCCAGCGGGGTCGGAGGGCCGGCCGGGGGGCGCTGAGGAGACCCTGACGTGGAGACCTGCGATGGGGTGCTCAGTGGCGGCGAGCCAGGCGTGCCCTGGGGCTCCTGGTCCTCGGGGTGGCGCCGGACAGCCGTGGGCACCGAGCGCGTGGGGTCTGGAGTTAGGAGACCCGGTCAGCTGTGTCACCCAGCCCCCCAGACTTGGGGCGCTGCCAGCGGCCTCAGGTTCCTTCTCACGAATGAGAACTGCTCCCCGCTATCTCCCGGCAGGTGCGCGTGCAGCTGCCCAAACCCGTCTCGGCCGCGGCCGTGGGAAAGCGCCACAGGGAGGGGTCTGGGAGCACGGGCGCCCCACACCCCCACCCCCCGTTTAGCCAGTCTTCCCCCAGGAGGCGGGCGGGGTGGGGGGCCGGGAGGGGCCCAGTGACGGGCGCGGCCTGACCAAAGGGGCGAGGGCTGGAGCAGGCCGGGGCGCCCCTCGTCCCCCACATCCACAGCCCAGCGTGGCTGGGGGCCGCCTACTCTTGGCGGGCAGCAGATGGTCAGGGCTAGGGACTCACGAGCCCTGCCCATGGCCCAGCGCCCCAGCGCCCCCCCCCACACCGTGGGCCCCAGAGCCGCCCTCCTGGACAGCCATTGTGGCCTGGGGGGGGCCCAGGGCGGGCAGCGTGAGGGAGAAGGGGCGCAGCCGGCTCCGGGCCCGGTGGCTGGGCGCACAGTCCGGAGGCCGCCTGCCCCCTGCAGAGGGGGAGCCGGGGACATCGGCCCTGGCCTTCAGGAAAACCTCGGGCAGATGGCTCCAGACACTTGTATCCCAGGTAAACTTGGCAGCTGGAGCTTCAGTCACGTGGAGATGGGGTCCCCTTCCTCGGGCACCCTCTGAGGCGCCGGGCGCGGGACGCATGCCCCCTGCTGCAGCGGCCCAGTGCGGCTCCGCTGCCGCCTGCTGGCCAGGCTGGGAAGGGCTCTTTCTGCTGGCCACGCTGCTGGCATCCTGAGAACTGGCCTCTTGTCTTGTGTTAAAGATTTATTTATTTATGCCCATGAGAACTGGGGTACAGGCCAGCGGTGGGGGGTGAGAGGACTCACCAGAGACAAAGTGGGGGGCAGAACAGGCAGATAGAGGAAGCACACTGCTGAGGGGAGCAGCGGGGAGACGGGAGGGGTCTGCGCGCCCTGGGGCCCCTCCCTGGCGGGGATCGCACTCCTGCAGCAGTGGCTGTGGGCAGCTTCAGCGTGTTGAGACTTAACCCCTGCGCCCCTAGGGAGCCCCCCCCAAAAAACCTGATTGCTGAAGATCTCCGCCTGACCACGTGGTGTCTTTATATCTGGCAACTTGTCTGGATTCTCTGCACACTGCAGTTTAGTGTCGTCCGCGGTGACAGTTTCTCATCGGGTGTGACACTCCATCTGGGGCTCTGTTTCTATTTTTTTTTTTCTGTTTCTATTTGTAACTATAGGCATAGGTGTCTCACTGGACCCCACCCAGACTGACCCTCCCCGCCAGCGCCCTCCTGCGCCCGCAGACGCTCCCTGGTCAGCACCAGAGGCCCCCCGCGTGCTGCGGCCCTGCCCTCCCCCCGCTCGTCCCGCTCCTGCTGGTGGCCTTGCTGCACCCTGTCCCCTCGGCTCCAGTGTGCGTGAGCCCCTCGCCGTCCGGCCGCCTCGTCACGACTCTCAGCACAGCCACTCAGGTCTGCAGAAGCCGTGTGGTGGACAGGGCACCGA